TATATCTCACCATAAGCAAACAAATAAAAGAGCAGGTTTGCTGGATAAAAACTATTTATAAAATAGGAATAAATAATGAATGCATAGAGGAATGTAAAACTTCATGTTTAAAGAAGGCTCAGACAAAGTTTAGTTCACAAAGATGTCAATTCTCTGCAAAGTTTATAGATTTGATCAGTTTCCATCAAAATCCCACAAGGGTTTTTTTGTTTTTTTTAAATGGTAAATGACAGACTGACTTCTAAAATTTAGTGCAAAGAATCAAGAATAATGATACTCTTGAAGAAAAATGTGGGGCATTGGCCTCTGAAAAGATAAGAAGAAGCTATAGTAATTAAATCACTGTGAAACTAGTACAGGGTTGAAATAGAATATCTAGCAGGAAAGAACAGAATTTTATTTAATGGCATTAAGGCAGTTCCTTATGCACATAGGATAAAAATGGATCTCTCCTTATATGTTAAAAAATCAGTTCTAAGTAGAATCAAACTTACATATGAAAGTAAAAACTACAGAACTTTAGAAAACAATGTGGGAGAGACTCTTTATAATCTCAAGAAGGAAACCGTTAAGGTACAAAAAAAGCAAAAAAAAAAAAAATTAAAAGCTACTGGTTTGGGGCTGCCCATATTTAAAGAAAGCTATTCACCAAAAACATAATTGTTTGAGAAATAGTCCTAAAGCAAGAATTGTTTATACAACATAACTTTCTTAGGGTTAAAATAATAAAAACATAAAGAGTTTTTACAAATCTACCAGAGAAAGACAATCTGTGCAATACTATGGCAAAGACAGGAACAGGCCTTTCACAGAAGAAACACAAATAATAAGGGTTGGCCAGAATGTGGAGTTTCAAGAACTCTCTCACACCTCAGATGGGAGGGGAAAGTGTGACCAATTTGTAAAAACAAGTTGGCAATACTTTGTTAACTTGAAAGTGAGTAACCGTTTGATCCAGTAATTTCACTCTAAGAAATTCTGACACATGGACACCAAGAGACACAGACTAGGACGTTTATAGGCATGTTATGAATGATAGGGAAAAAAGTGGGAACAACCCAAATGTTCACCAGCTGTGAAATACATACATAAATTATGAGTCATTAAGCAATGAAATACATCAAGCAGTAAAGCAAGTGGATTAAAGTTATATTTATCCTCGTAGGTGAATTGTAACAATTTTTATTGAAAAAAGCAAGTTATAGAAGAATGTATGTATATGTGTAGGTTTTAAACAGTCTAAAGATATATTATTTATACATAATTGCAGAACTAGTAAAATTCAGGAAATAATTAACACAAAATCCCAGCAGTGATTGCCAGGAGAGGAGAAGGTGTGGGAGTCAGGTATATTGGCATAAGGGTGCACAAGGAAACTTCAAAGTGACCGTCATGGTTCTGTTTCTCAGGCAGAATAGTGCAAGGTGAATATTATGACTTTGATGGGGTTTATGACTTTTAAAACTCAATGGACACTTTTTTTTTTTTTGGTGGTGGTGATGGAGATTGAACCCAGGGCCTTGTACATGTGAGGCAAGCACTTTACCAACTGAGCTATATCCCCAGCCCCTGCATGGCACATTTTATACCTTTTTTGATACATTTAAGAGAAATGTAACCTGTAGTAATTTTAGAGATAATAAGAGATGTTTTTAAATTAGGTAAAATGAATTAAGATGTTAAAATGCAAAAAGATTGATTTAATTTTCTAAGTTAAGGCCTCTCTATTCTAGCAGTTTTAAGAGTGCAAATTCAGGGAGAGGGTAGAGACCTAAGAGAACATCTCTGGTGTGGTAGTGTAAGGGAAGTGTTGGAGATACACGTCCTGGACCTGGTTTTCTTCCTCTACCACTCCCTTTCTCACTCCCTTAAATATTTAGTTCTTTAATTACCAAACCTGTCCTAGGAGCTGAATAGACAAATCAGGGAATGTACCTGTCTTGACACTTACAACATTTTTTAAACTCTTGCCTAGAGACTGATAATATTATCTTCCTAAACTAACTCATCAAAATTCACTTCAGGTACATATTATAATCACTCTTTGAGATCTTTTTAGATAAATCCCTATTTATATGTTTAGACAAACCTAATGAAATGCACGGCTTTAAATTTTTTCAGGATAACATCCTTTTTAATCTGGCTCTATATCTTAGATAACAGCCTAATTCTTACATATAGTTATTCCAATGTTGGGGTTTTTTTTTTGTTGTTGTTGTTGTTGTTGTTTGTTTGTTTTTGGTACTGGGGATTGAACCCAGGTATCCTTTATCAGACCTTTCTTTAAAATTTTATTTTGAAACAGCGTTTTGCTAAGTTGCCCAAATTGTGATCTTCCTGCCTCAGCCTTCTGAGTAATTGGGATTACAAGCATGTGCCACTATGTCTGATGCATTCCAATATTTTTAGTTATCCTTCTCATATGTATCAGTTGAACCCAATATATTGATTTTTACCTTTATATCTATGCTTTTGAGGCTTGAAATTGGATCTCATCTTAAACTTTGACTTAAAGCAGTATTTCCAAGATCATCACAAGCATACTGCTAAGAATATCATGAACTACAAAGGCAAATCCTTTTTTTTGTAATATTTATTTTTTAGTTGGACACAATACCTTGTTTTATTCATTTTTATGTGGTGCTGAGGATCGAACCCAGGGCTTGCATGAGCTAGGCGAGTGCTAAACCGCTGAGCCACAACCCCAGCCCCACAAAGGCAAATAATTTTTAATAGTCACCTAGTTATTTTAATCTTTCTTATAAAATACACTCATGAAGCCTGTGATTGCATGGCTGTTATTTCTTAGATGAAGGCAATGTAAGTCGCACATAGACTACATGAATTCATGGCGCAAATGGTTCTCAGATACAGCAACAAATCATGAAATTGTGTGGTTTATACATGTAATATTTAGTTATAAAGGTGAATTAAAGCATTCATTTGATTCCCTTTGGTTGTCTCTTGTAATTCTCAAAAAAAAAAAAAAAACCTCTGATGTGGTATTGTTAGAAAAAATCAATCTAGAAAATCCTGTTTGGATATCATATTCTATTGTAGAAACCGCTCTAATAATGCAAAGATGGATAAGATGTGGGTCCTTCCCTCAGAAGCACCAGCCTAATAAGAATAGGCAAGTAAAATAAAACCTGATACAGCATGGTATGTGCTTTAGAGGAGCATGTGTAAGTTGGTAGGTAGCTTGGGAAGGCGATACTGACCATGGAGAGCAAGGGACTCTTCACTGAGGAAGGGGCACTTGGAAGCAGGTTTAAAAGATGAGCAGAAAGTTTACAGTAAGACAGACTGGGAAAGGGACACCTGGGAAAGGCGCATGCCAAGGTACAGAAACCTAAAAGGACTGGTCATATTGGGTTAACTGTGAGCAAGCAGCAAGTCATTGGAGGTGAGGGTTGAGGACCTGATATGAGGGTGTCTTGAGGGTGTCCATGTGGAGTGTGATGGTCTTTTCTTAGATCTTATCCTCTACGGCTTATCACCCTGTGAGAGCTCTTAAGCAGAAGAGGGTCATGTTATGTTCTGTGGGGCAGTGCAGAAGATGGCTGGTTGTTGGACAAAGGGAGTGGGAAGCAATTGGGGAAAGATTCTGCTTTGTTTACTTTTCAGGATATGCAGGAAGCTAGATTACATCTAGACTTTTCCTAGAACTTAATTCATCGAAAGAAATAGTTTTAGGTGATTTGCAGCCAACATTCGAAGTTTCTGAAGACATTGGTATTATTCAGTCTATTATAAACAAGTATTAATTAACTTTACCTTATATTAAGAACAAAGAGATTTTTATTTATTTTATGTTTTTACATTATTTTTTAGTTTCATTGTAGTCAACATTATTGGGCCTTTTTAAAAAAAATTTATATTTGGTGCTGAGAATTGAATCCAGTGCTTCACACACGCTAAGCAAGTGCTCTACCACTGAGCTACAACCCTGGCCCTTATTTTGTATTATTTTACTATAGGAAGCAGCATATAAAAGTCAAGTGGAGATGTGGTATTGATGAGGAATTTAAGTGGCACATTCTGTAATAAATTGCAGAGACAGTAGAAAAAAAATCTTTAAACGTTTTTTTTCTTTTTTGCAGGTAATAACCTGCCAAAATCTCAGATAATGGTGTTATTTAAAGGGGTTTGAGTAGACAACAAAATCTTATGTGAATAGTCTTCTTTATGAGTTTTAAAAGGCCTGGGGTTGTAACTCGGTAGCAGGAGGTCCTGGATTTGACCCCCAACACCAAAAGTAAAGTATAAAGAAGCCAAAAAAGGCAAACAGAGGCTTTAGAAGTGTTTTATGTAACTTAATTTTGTTGCTTCTACGACTATTTACTGTTAAGTCTTAGATTTAATAATCTTGGGATTTCTTATTTCTGTCTTTCAGAGAAATGGTTGGTATACCAACTTTTTTTTGTACCTTTAGTATATCATAGGTTTGATGCTGACCTGTGTATGTGAGTTTGTATCTGCCTGTATAGCCAAACCGTAATACCAAATTTTCTGCCTCACATTTATTTGGAAGTATTCTGACATTTTAGGATGTGTCTCAGTTAGCTCATTTGCTAACATCCATAAAGCCACGTGGTCTTAGCATTATTTTAACCTTTGAGTATTGCAGCCATCAAAAAGTTCTGACTTTGATGAGGAATTAACTTTTTAACATTTCTCCAAAAATAATCCAGAAGCATCAAAAGAGCAAATTCATTCCAAGGGCATGTAGTGATGGCCAAGAGGGAAGTTAATGTTAACTTGATAGTGTGACCTTAGAATAGAAATGAGGGAGGCCACAGAAATGAAGGAACCCCAGTGACCTTGGGATCACTGCAAGTTCCTTCCTGCAAGGCCCAATAATGTTGACTACAATGAAACTTGATTTGTACTTGAAAAGATACTTTCTATGCTGTTGTCACCAAGTTCTTTTGAAGTTCTTTATCATTATTTTGAAGAGTTAATTCCTTATTTTTGTTTTATTTTTTACTTTGACACAGAAATCCCCTGCAAAGAAGCTGAGCCATGCAATTAGTAAATCTTTGGGGTGTGTGCCCTCCAGAGAACCCCCACATCCTGTTTATCCTGAGCAACCAGAGAAACCACTTGACCTTGCACATATAGTGTAAGTATGCACCTGAATGTGGACCCTTCTGAAATGGAGGTCTTGGGAAATTCCTTTGGATCAAAACCAAGAATCACCTAACATGAACATTGCCCTTTCTAGACGCTAAGCTCCAATTTCTTTAAATCACCATAAACATCTACATGGAAGCCTAGCTTCCTGATTCCTGAAGCCTAAGAAACAGCATTTTCAGAATAGGAATACCTTGAAGAGGAGTGTTTGTGCTGTTGAGCTGAGTTGCCTTTTGCTGTTTATATGTCCTGCCCTTAAATTAGTGATAGAAGTCACCTCTTCTCCTCAGCGTAGTGCCCACAGGGACTTGAGTCAGTTTACATGACATGGAAATAAAAACCAACTTACTTTTCGCTTTTCAAATTGAGAGAAAATTAGGCGCTGTATGTGTATATAAGGCTGTTACACACACACACACACACACACACACACACACACACACACACGCGCGCTCGTGCGCGACAGGCACATGATAAATAAAGCAAAGCTACTGGGGAACAAAAAGTTTGAGAAATAAAGACCAGAGGTAAGGAGGAAGAGAGACAGAGAAGGATAGGATTCAGTCTCTAAAATGATTTCTTCATTCTGAATTAAATGGTGATAGTAAGTATACTTTGCTCAATAAAGTTGGCAGGTTTGGGATCTTTAGTCTTCATCACGAGTGTGGAAGTTTCTCTGCTATAGTGAGCACTCATTATCTTTTATCTACCTGATGGAAGATGGTTTGACCAAATGAGCTGTTGGGGATATCAAATAATTTTTAAAATGATTTTAAATATCTTAAAAACTTTGGTATTTATTAAAATAATATATGCATGTGGATTAAAAATTCAGTAATACAGAACTGCTTGTTTTAACACAACACACCCTCCAACACTTGACCTTTCTTTGCCTGGGTTTTAGGTCAACCAGTAGTTACCTCTCTATTGCTCTGTCTTATATGTATAAGACCATTTTTCTTGACCTACCAGTTTTAGATATTATTGAGCTTCATCAAGGGTATAAGGAATCAACCTCATTTATAAATAGATGCCATCCTAATCCTAACCCTAACTCATCCCAGTTTTTCATAATTGTATCACCATTTTTAAGTTGGCTTCCTTATTGATTTTAAATAATATTCTTAAAACTCAATTTCTTAGAACTCCCTTCAACTTCTACTGCATAAACTGAGAAAATCAGTGTGTTTTATTTCTCTTTTTGCCTCCTGATTTTCACTTTGCCAATATTGATAATAGTTCTGGTCTATAAAAAAGCGTTCCAAGATTTATAAACATAAAAGTTGAGAATCCAGGGCTGGGGATGTGGCTCAAGAGGTAGTGCGCTCGCCTGGCATGCGTGCGGCCCGAGTTCGATCCTCAGCACCACATACAAACAAAGATGTTGTGTCCTCCGAATACTAAAAAATAAATATTAAAATTCTCTCTTCTCTCTCTCTCTCTCTCTCTCTTTAAAAAAAAAATGGTTAAAAAAAAAAGTTGAGAATCCAGTAACAATGTTTATGGTTAACATCACTCATTACAATCAGATTCAAATTGAGAGAATTTGAGCTCACTGAGCTCTTCTGCCCCCACCAGATTCAACAGTGTATAGTCTTCTGGGTTCCTGGGGAGGAGAGCCAGAGATGGTCAGCTCAGGAGTGTGTTCTGTAAGTGTCTTCAACTCTACCTGGTCTCACCTAGACTAAATTTTACAGTTCAAGTATTTGGTAATCTGAATTGTTCCCAAACCAAGAATATGGTTAGCAGGTCGCCCCCCCACCAAAAAAAAAAAAAAAAAAAAGGGGGGTGAGAGTTATTGGAGATGTAGCTTAGTGGCAAATTGTCCCTGGTTTCAATTTCTAGTAAAAAAAAAAAAAAAAAAAAAGCAGTGATAGGTTCTCTTTTAGATTCTAATGAATTTCAGAACAGTTACTCCTAATTGGATTTGCTAGATAAATTTTAAAATTCCTTTCACCTTTGATTTTGTATGTCTTATAGATTTTTGTTTTCCTACATGTCAGTGGTTTCCCATCTCAGCTGATTTTAAAACTCAGAGAGCTTTACAAAGTACACATTACTTCCATTCTGGGTCAATTTAATTATTATTCTGGGGTGGCCTGAGAGTCTACCCCTAAAAGTTCCTTAGTGAGGCCAGTTGCAATGGCACATGCCTCTAATCCCAGCAACTCGGGAGGCTGAGGCAGGAGGATCGTGAGTTCAAAGCCAGCTTCAGCAATTTATCGAGGCACTAAGCAACTCAGGGAGACCCTTTCACTAATAAAATACAAAATAAGGCTAGGGATGTGGCTCAGTGGTCAAGTGCCCCTGAGTTCAATCCGCGGTCCCCCTCCCCACACCCTGTCAGTACTTATGGATCCTTAACCACTGAGATGATACTCTTCCTCCGAAAAAATGGGGTGTTATCTTCCCCTTAGAAAAGAGTGGGTGTTCTGAATAATTGTTTCTTAAACCTTTTCAGGTATAGGAAAGTGATTTTCCTATAATGTAAATTATATAAATGTGGTATGTAAATATGATATTTTATTTCTTCTAGCAATAGACCTATGGATATAGCTCAGTAGTAAAATGTTCCAGGTTCAATCTCCAGTACAAAAACAAACATGCATACTAATCTCCATGAGTTTTAACATCTATCTGGAATCTGCAGTCTTTTTAGATGCTCTAAAATTAGATATTTTCCACTTACAGAAATTCTCTTCAGATCATTGGAAGGTTTACTTAAAAATTTCTATAGTAACAACTTGGACAGTGCAACTTGAAATTGCCTTCTGTGGCATTTGTCACTTCAACATTAAGTTTTATTTTGTACCAGATAACTGGAACAATAAATGTCTTCAAAAAAGGTCTGAAATAGTAGTTTTACTTGAAGGAATAGCATTATTGAGTTTAAATAATCCTCAGTTGTGTTTTCTTCTAAAAACTTTAACATTTGGGATTTCTTTAAAGTTCTTTATAATTTCTTCCTATGCTCTCTCACCAGTTTCAAGATTGTACTATTGTATCTCAAAGAACTATCCTACTCATTTTGAAGCTCTGAAAAATAATATAAATCACATATTTTTCCTGTTTACACAAAATAATTCTCTAACAAGATGTGTTTACCTCCTTGCTGGCCAGGGAAGTCTTTTGTGAAGAACAGCATTTACAGTGAAGCCAGAGTGTAACCTGTGGAAGGTGGTGGATGGGACACTCTGGCAGAGAGAGCAGGGACCAGAGCCATGTGGAGCCAGGGCTGGCTGTAAAGGAGAAGGACAGCTGCTAGGTGTGGGGAGGGGAGGGGTATGGCAGACTTGCCACTTTAGAAAACCCCTTCCTGGCCAGGTGCAGTGTGCAGGCCTATAATCCTAGCATTTTGGGAGATTGAGGTAGAAGGATCCCAAATTTGAGGCTAACCTGGGCAACTTAGTGAGACCGGTCTCAAAATTAAAAAAGGCTATGGATGTAGCTCAGTGGTAAAATGTTTCAGGTTCAATCCCCAGTACAAAAACAAAAAAGAAAACCACTGCCCAGACCCTTGAAGGGGAAGAGGCCAGCTAGAGAATCTTCAGAGACCAGGGTAGGGACCATGGTGCTTTGAACTGTCATGGTGGCCATGGAGAGAGAAGTTTATAAACATGTAAGAAACCTTATGTGGTACCATTATTGCATACCAAGAAATAAAATTAAAACCCCAATAGAAATTGGGGACAGAAATTGAAACTATGAGGTAAAATATACATTAATGTTTCATTGTTGACATAGGCTAGACATTTATTCAGACCCTCACATGTTTGAGATTGAAATGTTGTTGATATTTAGTTGGGACTCACAGTACTCTAGGCCCTTTGCTCACTTCTTCATATCCAGCAACGTTTATGTTATAAATATCTCCACCAAATCCCTAGTGCCTTCAATGCTGCCCAGTGCATGTTAGCTTCTTATACAGCATGAAGTGAAGTAAGGGTAGCAAGCCTGGTTGCTGTGGACAGGTGACTATGCCCTGCCCCTTTCTGTGTTTCTCCATTTTGTTTTCCCCTTCAGAGTCTCACATGTCCCTTCAGTTTCCTGAAGCCTCCACTAGATGTCAGGCGCAATTCCTCCTGTTGATCTTTGGGGGAGTTGACAATATTGAGTAAATGAGGTTTGTCAAATAAATCTCAAGCCTTATCTTCAAAACAAAGATTTGAAGATTCTCCTACCAGCATACTGGTAACTAAGTCCAAGTCTCTAAGAGAAAAATTAGTTGCTTCTTTTGGCCAGAATATTTTTATACAATTTCTGGTTCTTGACATCTCTGATAGACTCTCTTCTGTTCTAATTCAAGCAATTTGTTGTTGCTTAGGATCTAATTATTTAACCATGTAGTTCTTAAACCTAATTTCTTTAATTAGAGGTTAGTCACCACTACATTTCAGTTTGTGGTTATTTATTACTGAGAGAAAGCAAAACTTGCTGGTGTTGGCTTAGTGTCTGTATTCTTAAATTCCAGAGAGAAAGAGCATGACCGTGTCCTGCCACATACACCTGGGATTCATCTAATTTCTTGACAGGGTTGCCAAACTGTAGCCCTTAGGGTAAACCCAGCCTGTCATCTGTTTTTGTATGGCCCATGATCTAGGAGTGACTTTTATATTTTTAAATGGTTCAGGATAAATAAAAGAATGCTAATATTTTGTGAAGTGAAAATTGTATTAAATTGAAATGTCCCTGTTCATATCCAAATCTTGATTGGGCCACAGCCACATTTACCCATTTATGTCTTGTTTGTGGCACTTTGGTACTAACTTGGCAGAACAGATTTGCTGCAGCTGAGACCGCATGCCTGCCCAAACCTAAATATTTACCGTCTGGCTCTTTACAGGACAAGTTTGCTGACCTCTGCACTTAAGAAAGTGTGGATAAAAACTGTACTTTGTGCTTCTTGATGTTCTTTTTTCCAAATGGTATTATATTTGGTTGGATGGTCCAGATATTTTCCACACAGGGTGAAGGATAATTGATAATCTCTTAGGTTTCTTACTAGAACCAGACTGCCTGTTATTGAGAGAGCTCCTTCATTTGTTTCTCACTACCTTTGCATTCATAAATATATAGCATATTTGCACAGCTAAGCCACTTTTTTCCATACCTTGCATCAAAACTTAATTAACCTATACAGTTGAAAACTAATGTTATTTAAATTATACTACAATTATAAAATTATAACTAAAGCCATACTTTAATGTTGCTCTTATTAACTACTCTTCTGCTTAACACTGACTTGAACTCTATATATGTGCGTTGCTTTGATTTGATCTAAAAAATATCTTTTTTTTCCCCTACACCAACCTCATGGATTTTCTTTTTAAACTTTAGACAATTATGTTTTAAACACTTGTACTTTCAGTGTTTGTGAACTGGTTAGGATAGCACAATAATAAATCTGCCTATTTTATACTTATCTTTCATGACTTTAAGTAGATCAGTGAAATTTACTAGAGCAGGAAGCATGTAGAACCATTTGTAACCCTATGAATAGGGCTTACTTCTTGTTTATGTTGTGTTAATAAAGCACATTTTTGTGTCACTTGTTTTAAGATGATGACTGAGTTTGGTGTTTGGAAGTACCTTTTGTGACAAGGACACTTCTAGCCAATTGTAATGTATCAAACCAAATGCTTCTTGGCAACTTTTTTTAAAAGTCAGATTTTTTCAAAGTTATTAACTGAGTTCAACTGTATTCACGAACAAATTGTCACATGTAAAATAAGTAAATAAAATAAGATGTGGGTTGGGGGTTCTGGCTCAGTGGCAGAGCACTTGCCTCGAACACGTGAGGCACTAAGTTCGATCCTCAGCACCTCATAAAAACAACAAAATAAAGATATTGTGTCCATGTATCACAAAAAAAAATTAAAAGAAAAATTGACTGATGTTATAGAACCTGTAATAATGATCAATCTTCTACAAGTATTTATTGATGGTGTTGTGAGCAGAGCTGTATGTATGGTGTGGCGACAGAGTCTCCTCTGAGGACCCTGATAAGAGGATCCTTTTATTAGATCACCAGATGAATCTGATATTCCAGTCACTTAAGAAGAGTCTCACTTTCATTCTGGGTGTCTTGGTTTCTTGAGACTGAACCTATTTGGAAGATTATAATTTTGAACTGTTTCTGACGATTTTAGCTCATCTGTTATTAACTCTATTGTATTTTGCTATCTTAAATTTGAAGCCCAATCAAATTGACTCAGACCTCTCAAAGCCCAATCCTAGGAGAGTAATTGTTTACAAGTGTCTGTGACTCTGCTCTGCTGAGTTTCACCATGCCCTTGGGACTTTCTCACCCTGTTTACCACCTACTTTAAACTCTTACTCTCACATGGCCTAAAGTCATCATCGCTTGGTTTTCCTTTTTTAAAAAATTGGATTAGAAAGTACAATATAAAGTTTTTGTTCACTGTAAGTGAATAGTTCAGGAGTGCTAAGTGTATCCACATTGTTATGAAACAGATTTCTAGAACTTTTTATTTTTCCAATTCTAAAACTATATCCCTATTAAATAACAAAGCCCTTTTTTCCTCTCCCCCAGCCCAGGTAACTACCTTTCTAATTTCTGTTTCTATAAATTTGACTACTTCAGGTACCTCATATGAATGAAATCATATGGTATTTGTCTTTTTTTGTCATTTAGCAGAATGTCCTCTTAAGGTTTAAACATGTTTACCACATGACAGGATTCCCTTTCTTTTTAAGGCCAAGTAATATCCCATTGGATGTTTATTATATATTCTGCGTATCCACTCATCTGTCAATGGGTGCTTGGCCTGTGTTGCTTTTGTGTTTTGGATCTTGTAGATAGTGCTGCTATGAAAATGGGTGGGCAAGTACCCTGCTTTTAATTCTTTTAGATTATGTGTTGAGAACCGGGATTGCTGGATCATATGGTAGTTCTATTCTTAATTTTCTGAGAAACCTCTGAATTCTTTTTTCACACATGTTGCACCATTTTACAATTCTTCCAGCAGTGCACAAGCCTTCATTTTCTCCACATGCTCACCAACACATTTTATGTAGTTGTATTTATTTTTATAGTAACCATTGTAATGGGTTTGAAGTAATATTACAATTTTGATTTGTCTATTTTCCCCGTCAGTTTTATTGAGGTTCAATTTATGTTCCATTATATTTACCCACTGTGACAATTAAATTATTTTTACGAAATTCATACAGTTTTGTATTATTTACTGTCATCTAGTTTTAGAATATTTCCATCATTCAAAAGAGGCTCCTACCCTTTGTAATGAATCCAGCTCCCATCTCCAGCCCAACACAGACAACATTAGACAGTAGTCCCCCATCTGTGGGGGAGGGGTCCCTTGATTGATGCCTGAAACTGGATAGTATCAAACTCTGTACTGTACAAACCTGATAGATTTTAATTTATAATTGAGGCAAGTAAGAGATTAACAACAACTAACAGTAAAATAGATTATACAAAATATTGTGATAAAAGTTGTTTAAAATGTATAATTTACTTATTTCTAGAAGTTTTCATTTAATATTTTCAGACCACAGGTAACTGTAGCCTCAGAAGGCTTTCTGAATAGCGGGGATCACATCTGGTTCTTAGACATCTTTTTTTTTAATGTTTATTTTTTATTTGTAGTTGTACACAATACCTTTATTTTATTTATTTATTTTTATGTGGTGCTGAGGATCAAACCCATGCCTCGCTCATGCTAGGCGAGCGCTCTACTGCTGATCCACAACCCCAGCCCCCTTAGTGATCTTTCTTTTTTTAAAAAACTTTTTTTTTTTTAAAGAGAGAGAGAAAGATAGAATTTTTTTTAATATTTATTTTTTAGTTCTTGGCGGACACAGCATCTTTGTATGTGGTGCTGAGGATCGAACCCGGGCCGCACGCATGCCAGGCGAGTGCGCTACCACTTGAGCCACATCCCCAGCCCACCCCTTAGTGATCTTATGAGAAGTAAAAATTAATTAGTTTTGAGGGAGTAAAATTATCAATATTTTCTCTTATGGAATGTATTTTTGTTAAGAAATCTTTGCCTAACCCAAAATAAAAAAGGTTTTCTCATAGAAGTTTTATATTTTTACTCTTACATTTCAGTCTTGAATCAATTTTTGTGTTAGTTTTTTTGTTTGTTTTTTATTTACATACTTGGAATTGAACCCAGAGTCATTTAACCATTGAGCTACATCCGGAACTTCCCCATCACCTTACTAAGCATCTTGCTTAGTGCCTTGATAAGTTGCTGAGGCTGACCCCAAACTTGAGATTCTCTGGCCTCAGCCTCCTGAGTTTCTGGGATTACAGGAATGTGCTACCATACTCAGCTCTTGGGTTAGTTTTAAGATAATTTTTTGTTTGAGGTAAGTGTCCAGGTTTCCTTTTTGATATGTGACTATCTAGTTGTCTAGGCACCATTTGTTGAAAAGACTGTCCTTTGCTCTGTTGAATAGCCTTGTCAAAACAATTGACTGCAAATGTATGGTTTTATTTCTGGGCTCCCAGTCCTATTTTTTTTTTTTTTTTAATCTCTGTGTCTCTCTGTTTTCATGCCAGCACCACATGATCTTCATTACTATAACTTAATAGTAAGTCTTGAAATTTCATGTAAGTTCTTTTTTTTTGGGTGTGCTGGGCATTAAACTCAGGGGCACTCAACCACTGAGCCACATCCCAGCCCTACTTTCTATTTTATTTAGAGACAGGGTCTCACTGAGTTGCTTAGTGCCTCACTGTTGCTAAGGCTGGCTTTGAACTTGCAATCCTCCTGCCTCAACCTCCCAAGCTGTATAAATTTTCTTTGTTTTCAAAATTCTTAGTTTTATTCCCCAACCCCAACCCCTTTTTTTATTTCCATGTAAATTTTAGGGTATGCCTATCTATTGTAATGAAGTCTGCTGGAATTTTTTTTAAATGTTTATTTTTTAGTTGTACACAACAACTTTAGTTTGTTTAGTTATTTTTATGTGGTGCTGAGGATTGAACCCAGGGCCTCGCACGTGCTAAGCAAGTACTCTACCGCTGAGCTACAACTCCAGCCCCTCTGCTGGAATTTTGACAGGGATTTCCACTGAGCCTACTAATCAGTCTTCTTTCTCATCATGCTGCAACTTCCTTCTCCCTCATTATTTGGGTACTTGTTTGTTCTTTGTTTTGTCTTATTGTCTTCTGTGTTTGCTTTTGAGTAGCTAATCCTGTCTTAGACACAGTCATCTTAACTACAACCCTAAATATATTCCCTGTGATTCAGTCTGCTTTTTATATTCTGCTTTAAAGATAATATTGTTAATTTAAAATCTTTTTGAGGTCTTTCAAAGATGTGCCTCTTTGTATGAACTTAATATACAAGTTAACTGTTTCTAAAAGCATGTTAGATAGGCTAGGGATGTGGCTCAAGTGGTATCGCACTCACCTGGCATGCACGAGGTGCTGGGTTTGATCCTCAACACCACATAAAGATAAAATAAAGATATTGTGTTTACCTAAAAACTAAAAAATAAATATTAAAAAAGCATATGTTAGATATATGTAAAGAATATTTAGAACTATTAATTAGGTTTTTGCACATTGATTTAGCATTATATCTGTCCTATTGCATAATCCAGTTTTCACTCATTCATTGTTCTTATCCCTTCAATGACTTCCCTTACACTTAAAAGCTAAAATCTTCTATGATCTATGAGGCCTAATAAGGGCTGGCTCCTGGCAACCTCTCTAACTTTATTTCCTACCACTTTACTGCTGAGCTCCGTGCCCTTTTGTTTTCCTGGTTTATTCTCACCTTGGGCTTTGGTATCCACTGTTAACATTAACCATCAGCTTCTTAAGCAGGTGGGATTTGTATACCCTTAGTTCCTGGAAAATCCCAGCAGTTTATGGGCCTCTACTCACTTGTGCTGTGGAGTAAGAGATAATTGTAAATTCTAGCTGAAGATCACATTAGAGGACCTTGCTTGTTTATTCAGTATGTCTTTACTCATCTTCCTGAAGCCTTGGAAGGCAACCAAATAGAGGTTACTATATTATAAAAGTCTGTTTTTTGGTTTTTTTTTTTTTTTAAATGATCTTCTGGAGAGAAGCCTTCTTTAACTTCTTGAAATAATCCTGGAAGTCAACATAAGGTCATAATAAGGCATCTTCTCCTTTGGCATAAAGTGGCTCTTCTCATTTGTCTTTTTCCTTTTGGATAGCATTAGTGAAATAACTGTAAGAGTAAATTAGAAACATTAATTTTAATCATGAATTTAAGGAAATATTTTGTTAAATTATATTGAATAATCTTCCTCCTTGTTTTTTCACTTTTTTAGGAAAACGTTTTTTGGAATTTAAGGGACTTCTTTTTTCTCATTAGTCATTTCTTCCAAGCTGCCACCACCTCATGTTTAATTCTGTGTAAATCCAGCTGCTACTTTCTGTTCATTTCCTATGTCCAGATTATCACAAGAAAAATATTCTTCTTAAGAATATTTTTCTGTAGAGTTCATTGTGATATTTAACATATTAATCTTGAAAAATTTGTTAAACTGCTATTGATTTATCTTTGTGACTTTAGCCCTTCAAAAAACTTAAAAATCTAAAATTGATATATAGGAGGATAAAAAGGTACCCTCAAGCCAGGTGTGGTGGTGCACACCTCTAATCTCAGCAGCTCGGGAGGCTGAGGCAGGAGGATCGAAAGTTCAAAGCCAGCCTTAGCAAAAACGAGGTGCTAAGCAATTCAGTAAGACCCTGTCTCTAAATAAAATACAAAATAGGGCTGGGGATGTGGCTCAGTGGTTGAGTGACCCTGAATTCAATCCCTGATACCTCCCAAAAAATGTACCCTCAAAATTGAGCCAACATGAATTTAATGCATAAAACCTATGTATACTAACGTTATAACATATTCATTTTGCACATAAAATGAATAAATACAAATGAATGGTGTGGTGCTGCATAAAATAATACATTTTAAGCATCCTTCATGTTTCCATAAGATTTAGGACATTAATATGTCCTGTTTATCTGATTGTAAGGGCATCCTGATTTGTAGGCTGATTATCTCAAATTCCCTCTCACATTTGCCAAGTTGTTGGGTAAGAAACATAAATATTTATTCTTGACCCTTTGAGGAAATCAGCAATCCGAACATACCATAATTAACTCTAAATAGCAAAGGCCTAAAAGAGAGCTTCCTAACCACAAGTCCATCATAACATGGATTTGAAACTTTTAACCCCCAAATCCCAGCTCAAATCAAGTTTAAAGCTCTTCTTTTTGGGTATTACTCCCAGAAGCCCGTTGGAAGCAAACACAAGTCTTCTAGGAAGAAGGGCCTTTAAAAGCCCGAGCTTCAAGTAGTGTCCACAGATAAAGTTCCAAGGAACTCAAGACTCCCCAAAATACAGAAAAGGCATGATGGCATGAGTAAGAATTAAGAAAAGTAATATAAAAAAGTTGCATAAAGAGTTTGAATTATTATGTATGTATTATGTATCTTTTTAAAAAAGAATAGGAATATGTTTAAAATGTAAACTATTATGAAGAAACAAGACAATAAAAATTCCCCCCAAAATTTGAAGAGGAAACAAATCAAATTTTTAGGAATTGGGTGGGGGTGGGGGGAATCACAGACCTCAGTAGTATAAGGTAAATATTAAAATAAACATAGATAGAAAATTAGTGAACTTGAAAGATAAATCCAAACAAGTTATTCAGAATGCAATACACAGAGACAAAGAGATAAAAAATATGGTGTACAAGGGAAAGTTGTAACACATAGATAATTGGAATTCCAGAAAAGACAAGATTTAAAAATTAGAGGCAAGGCAAAAAAATAATGAGTGTGAATTGTCCCAAATTGGTGGCAGATGTCAATGAATTCCAACTAAGACTTTTAAAGGAAAAGCCATCCCTGTAGTAAAGCTAGAGGACAACAGAAAAATCAATACCTTTTATAATTGCACAAAGATAGCATAGGAATAGATATAATGAAACACATGTAAGACTATAAGGCACTGCTAAAAGAGAAGTTAAAAGATACAAATAAATAAGGAGATAGTATGTTTTCAAGTCAGAAGGCCAGTAATATACCAGACATCCAGAACAGATCATCTTTAACAACTTTCTCATCTCCATGTCAAAATTATTTTTTAGTAATTATGAGATGAGAAAATAATTACTGGTTTCTGCTTTTGTCTTTATTCTTTTCTTTCTATTTTTTTTTTAGAGTTTTCTAAGAAATTCAGCAGATATTTATTGAACACTTACTGTGTTTCAGGCACCACTCAGAGAAAAACAGACAAAAAAACTTTGCTTTCATGGATCTTGTTTTCTAGTGAAGGGAGATAGACACAAATGATAATAAGTATAGAGGACTTCAGAAAGTCACGAAGTACCATTGAGAAGACTAAAACAGGAAAAGAGAGGTGAGAAGTACTGCAGGTGGAGGAGTCCCAGTTTTTAATAGTTTCCATTTGAACGTTAATGAAAGGTGATATTTGAGCACAGGCTGTGAGGAGATGATGGGATGGCCCTTGAGTGTATCTGGAGGAACAGCAGTTTTTAAAATTGCTTTTATTTTTTAAATACATGAGAGTAAAATGCATCACAATTCTTATTACACATATAGAACACAGTTTTATATATATATATATAAATTTATACATATAAATTTAAAATTATATATTTATATATAATTTAAAAATTATATTTTATAAATATATAAATTTTTATATATATATAAAGTACGTTCACACAAATTCATGTCTTTATACATGTACTTTGGATAATGATGTCCATCACATTCCACCATTATTGCTAACCCCCTATCCATTCCCTTCCCCTCCCGCTCCTCTGCCTTATCTAGAATTTGTCTATTCCTCCCATGCTCCCTCTCCCTACCCCACTATGAGTCATTCACCTTATATCAGAGAAAACATTTGCCATTTGTTTTTTGGAAATTGGCTAACTTCACTTAGCATTATCTTCTCCAACTGCATCCGTTTACTTGCAAATGCCAGGATTTTATTCTCTTTTATTGCTGAGTAATATTCCATTGTGTATATATGCCACATGTTTTTAATCCATTCATCTACTGAAGGGCATCTAGGTTGGTTCCACAGTTTATGTATTGTGAATTGTGCTGAAGTGGATATTCAATCAATCAACAAATATATGAAAAGATGTTCATCATCTCTAGCAATTAGAGAAATACAAATCAAAACTACTAAGACACCATCTCACTCTAGTCAGAATGGTAGCTATTATGAAGACTAACAATAATAAGTGTTGACGAGGATGTGGGAGAAAAGACACATTTATGCATTGGTGGTGGGACTGCAAATTGGTGCAGCCAATATGGAAAGCAGTATGGAGATTTCTTGGAAAACTTGGAATGGAACCACCATTTAACCCAGCTATCCCTCTCCTCGATCTGTACCCAAAGGACTTAAAACCGTATACTACAGGGACACAGCCACATCAATGTTTACAGCAGCACAATTCACAATAGCTAAACTGAGGAAGAACATTCTTGCAGAAGAAACAGGTTTTACAAAGCCCTGCTGTGGAGGAATACCTGGCATGTTCAAGGAACACCAAGAAATCTGGTGTAGAGGAAAATAAGCAAAGGGGACATAAAATCAAAGATGTTATAAGAGATCGGCATCATAAGTTCTTATAGGCCATTGTAAGAACTGAGAAGAGGCAGCATTTGGACAGTTTTCACTTTTCTCACTTCCATTTAAAAGGAGGGTCTTTATGGAATAGACAGAGGAGGGATAGGATGGAAGGAAGGAAATTAGACAGTTTTGAAAGACCTAGTGTCAGGATGGAAGGAAGGAAACTAGTTAGACAGTTTTGAAGAAATCCAGCTGAGGGGTGAACATGAGTGGATGCCAGGATAGCAATAGAGGTAACAAGAAGTGACCAAATACATGATCACTGGATGTATTTGTTCCAACAGGTTTGCTGACAGGTTGGTATTGAAATTAGGGAAAGAGCAGTATGAACAGTGGAAAGGACAGAGAAGAGGATTATTATAGGTACAGCCAATTTGAATTGTATCAGAAGAGCTCCTCTATGGACATGTTGAATAATTATTGACACGCAACGAGAAATATCAAGTAGGCAGTTGATGTAAGTCTGTGTGTGTGTGGGGGGGGGGGATGAACCTGGAGTGTGTGTGCTTGAAAGTATAAATTTAGGAATTGGCAACTTATAGATTTTTAGGTAGAGAAGAGAAAGTACACAGGGATCAAACCCCGTGTTTCTTATTCTTTAGATGATTATTTATTTAATTGATTTTTGAAAAAATTTTCTAATACACAGAGTTAAGGCAATTTTCAAAATTTCCAAACACATGAGACTTTTTTAGTATTCTTTGATGCTCTCTGATACTATTCAATGTTGGTCGGGGTGGTACTCTCTAAGATAATGATTCTTCAGTAGAGTTGTGATTTCTTTCAGGGCCAAGTATCTGAATAGTTTTTCTAAATATCCCCTGTGTGTTTAAATATAGTATAAAATTGCTGAGTGTGTGTTTCTCCACATTCACATTGCATTGAAATTATTAACTATTTGTTAAAAATAAAAAGACTTTAAAAGATGATAGGTGAAAGTGCCAGCCGGCCTGACGTCATGGAAGAGGCTGTGTGAATAATCATGTGCCGACTCAGAACCTCAAGGACCTTAGGAAATTGAGTCATGAAACTGAGACCTGTATTTCTGAAGTGCAATCCAAGGGTCACTCTGAAGAATATTGCCATCTTAATTTTAAGTTTTTGAGTCTCTGGACAGGACATGAGGTGTCTTTCCATTTACTTACACTTTTTGTCTTTCTTAATGTTTTATAGTTTTTAACATTTTGAGTAAATTCATTTCTAGATGTTTTATTCCTTTTCATGCTATTGTAAATGACATTGTTTTCTTACATTTTATTTTCAGCTTTTTCATTACTAATATGTAGAAATGCAACTTATTTTTTTGTGTATTGATCTTAACGTCCTGCTTACCTCTAATAATTCTTTTTGTGTGGAATCTTCAGGATTTTCCACGTGAAATCATGTTATCTACTAGTAGAGATATTTTACTTCTTCCTTTACAATATGGATATCTTTATTTTTCTTGTCTAATTATTGTGGTGCATCCTCACTCTTGAATGATCATTTGACTGGATTTAGAATCCAGCCAAAAGTTGTTTCCCTTCGTCCTTTGAGGATCTCA